AGAGAAGTTCTTGTACTCACGCTTGTACGTCTCGTAGAGTGGTCTTGACCTATGCGGTCCCCTCGTGATAGCTCTGAAGCCTCACCCATATCTCTCGAGCTGTAGTACAATCGGAGACACGCTCGAACTCAGAAAGCGAAAGACTTGAGAAAAGCACACTGCGAGCTTTGCTATTTGCGTTGTGCCGATCCTTGTGATCCTGGGTGGTACGGGCTACGACAGGGAGCACAACGTAAGTAGCATCCTCGCAAATTTCCTAGACGAGCCAATCAATCCCCTAAAGATGCGCAGACATGCGGATCTTTCAATAAGGATAGTTGGACCCATCGAAGTGCAGTGGTTTGCCAGAACCACGCTCCATGTCGCCTTCGTGCATCACGGACCGATTAAGGTGGAATGATCCTTAACCGGCTCTGATACCAATTGAAGGACCAGAAACGACAACCAGAGGGGGGGTGAATGGGAGCCTCAAATTTCTCGTGAAATATTTGGCCGTTGTCCTAACTTCAACACCAAACGCACAAATAAATCACCATGATGTCCACGACCCAAAAGATTGGGTGGATGTTCCCTAGGAACACAGCGGGACACCACAAAGTCAACGCAATAAACGGTAGACAATTTGGAGCTCAAACGAATAAATTGCGAACGAAAAGCTAGCTGAAAAGTGGACCTAAAATTCTAGGCACCGGAGATAATACAGCAACTAGCAGTGGCTTTGCAAGTCGTGAGATGTACACCAAACAATTGCCACAATTTAATGCTCTAATGAGGAGCTCATGATTGCTTAGTTCATTTCACGGAAGCAAGAACAAGGCTAATGACCAATAAAAAATTAAGCATAAGGCGAAGCACAGTGTCACTTTGCACTTGCCGTTCAACACCGCTTTGGTGATCAAAATTCAGAGAATGAATCACAGAGAGAGAGATCGAGCCTTTGAACAGCAATCTCACATCCATGAATACTTTCCAAGGAAAATAGATATTCGGAGATTAGCTCATAAATGTTGGCTATAATTCACGGATGCAAGAAAATGAATTTACGTACTTTTTTTTCCGGACAAGAGCTCCAGTGAATGAAGCGACCTCCTGCTTGGTGGTGACCGGTGAGGATCCGGTAGTCTCGATCTGGAGGCGGATGCACCACGACAGCTGAGAGCTGGACCTAACCGAGCAAAATCAAATCACCGGAACGGTGAAGAATGAACAGGAACCTGAGCAAACGAACAGAGAGAGAACGTAGTACACAGACTGAAAGAGACGGCCACAAAAACGACCCGAACTCGAATGAAACTGAACGAGTCGCTCTCAAATCTTGCTGAGAGGATCACAACTGAGTTGAGAAGCTATCCCAAAAAATTATTGCCCAATTCCAACTCAAACTCTGGGAAATCCCCATGCAAGAACACAGCTTTTCCCCCAAAAACGAAATCTGCTTGAAATTTGATGCACGAGTGGAATTGATGAATTTCAATTGGTAGGATTGTTCATCACTCGTCAGAGCATCAGTCAAGCCAAACAAAAATGCTCCAAAGCATTAGAACCAACAGATCGAACATACGAGCAAAAAAAGGAAAACCAGGAGAACATACACAGGAACACGAGCACACCAAAAATGATTCAAACTTCCAAAGCCTGGAGGTCACGGTGAGGTTAGGGCCTCACTTCCCAACCAAAAACTCAGATTACACAGATCAATTCGTGGTTCATCTGTGGACCTCTCACTCAAGAACAACAAAGAGAAGGAAACCCTAGCTAGAAGGAGGAAAACGAAAAATGGGAGAGGTGGGGGAGATGGGGGCTCCCTCATCCTATTTAACAGGGCTATTGCACATTCCTAGTTTTGCCCCTGGATACAAATGAGTTGAAACGCTAAACCCAAGGGCGTTGTTGTCCAACCCGGTGTAATCTTGATCCGACGGTCACCGCGCCTACTCACCGGTAGCTTCGCCTCGACGCGAACTCCCCGATGCCGCCACATGCCGTCCGTCCCTCCTAGGAACCTCCGCCCGGGTTTTGAGGCCCAAACCCGTAAACCGTCCATCCGATGGTTTTGAGACCCAAACCATCAAATCGTCCGCGGGTAGCGTACTCCATACGCGTCCCCCGCCATCCGACGCGTGTCACCGCCGTCCTCGACCAGTCGGCCCGCCAAGTCCTCCTGAGCCTCGCTCGACTCACGCGTCCGCCATCTTGACCCGGTCAACACCGTCACTCCATGTCTTCTTGCACTTGTCGATGTCCCAAGTGTCAGCCACCGTGGCTAGTCACCCGGCCTCTGGGTCCCTCGGTCCAAGCCTCACGTCCGTCCTTCACCGCTCCCGGTCTGTCGGCACGGCACGTCCTCCTTGACCTTCACCTCGCCGTCGACCACCGCATCCGAGCTCCACACCTGCACAACACAAGCCAAAAGACATGTCGCACACATAGCTTTCGCCATGGTAGGGTCAGTCACCACTCAACCCACTTCGTGGATCACATTGACAATCACTCATCACAAAACGAACACACAAGGGTACTTGTCAACCTTGTGTTTGCACCTTAAATACTTAATGGTGGCCCATCTATGCTAAACCATAGGGGGGCCATCGAATTTCACAGCAACAAATCTCACGCTTTCGAGGCTTCGACTAGGGGAAAAAATCCGGTGGAGACAGCATGCACCGCATGTCCGTGCATACCGTCTCCAGATTTGTGCCGCGTGTCCGTGAAAAAAAATCTCACGTCGCTGCATGCTGGCAGGGAGATGAGGGAGTCGTGCAATTATGCGAGCCATCGTGCATCGTGTTGGAGAGTTGCGAGCCGAGCGAGTGGTGTTCGTTGGTTTTTTAGGCGTCCACATGGCAGGAATCTGGAGGTGGTATGCATGGATCGCGCAGTGCATGTTGTCTCCACCGGATTTTTTTTCCATTTGTGGATGTGTGGTTTGCCTTCCATCTTTCTTAGACTCACAATAGATACACACAATAGTCACCTATTTAAATTGAGTCAGTCTCTTGTCAATTTTCATATGGAGTTAATCCTTTTATTCCACTAGCATTTATTATGAGTCTTGAAATTTATTTAATTTAATATTGGATCAACAACAATTAAATCCAACAGAGATAGCTAGCTCATTATCATTGGCACAAGCACCACGCAACAAACTTTATGTCCTATTACAACATAAGGCATGTTTGCTAGTACTATATTAAAAAAAAAACTCCTTTCTCAGTAGTTGTGTAGTCTATTAAAAGTAGTGCCATCATCACATCTCCCCCGTGAGATAGCGGCGGAGTAGTTGATGTTGAGTAATTAGGCAATTTCATGTTTAATTTCAAAACATAACTCATGACGACCTCAGATACAATATGTATAAATCTAACATACTGGTTGAACCGAATAGCAACAATGCAAAAACAACATGATTGAACCAGAAAGCATGCTGAAATAACAGATTAAATCATGGCGTGCGTACCTTTGGCGTCCCCTCCACCCTCGTTGCTGTCGCGTAGGAGCCACCGCACTGGAGCACTAAGCCGTCCTCATCCCCACACCGGAGTAGCAAGCCGACCTCAACCAGGTCGGAGCTATACCAGGTACAACGGAGGATGCCAAGCCAAACCTGCGGTAGAGGATGATGAGCTTGATTTATAGTCGTGTGGCCAGAGGTTGATGACGGGGCAGTGGGCACAAAAGGGTACGCGATGGAAAGGGGATGAATCAGTTCCTTTACTTTAGGGTTTCACCATCGCAGGCAAACAAACTTGTTGGCTTCAACCAAAAGCGGCGGTCCACATGAGCAGAAACACCCAAGGCTATCAAACTGCCAACACAAGTTGTTAACCTGAGTCTGACCATACATAAGTGCGAACAAACATGCAGTGGCTCCCTCGCTGCAACACAATCTCTAATGGATGCTTGCGTCTTTTGTCAGATGAAGGAGCAGAGACCTCTGTAGGAGCCTCTGACAGTCTGTAAGGCTACTACTCCCTATGGCTATGATATGGATGTTTGCTGCAGACGTGGACGACCATGCTGGTGCGTTGGAGAAGCCCTTAAGAGACGAGTTGAACCCGCATCTATAGTGAAAATATACCTCGGACAAACCCATCAATCGTGTCACAGAAACAAACACCTGAAACTAAGTTCATCCCTTTTCATCTCCTGCAGAAACAAACACCTCTAAAACAAGGAAAAATGCAGATTTGGCCCGTGGCCTATGGAAAGCGGGACTCGGCCCACGCCAGCACAAAGGTCGGCAGTCAGCACCGCCTTGTCACCCCTGCACGTAGCTCTGCATTAGCAGCTTTAAGCAACCACGGCAATGCTCGTCCTGTTCCATGAGAAGGCGTCTGCAGATCAATCCTAGTGGCCTTCCCACATGTGCGCCCTCGATACGACGATACACATAACACACCGTCAGTCTGCGCCCAGCCGCCCGCTCCACTGTGCACTTCGTTCAGTCGCTCATCTGACCGTGCGTCCCTTCCCTGGCTTAACTCCGTAACGAGAGGCCGCGCGAGACACAGAAATGGCGTGGACATGGAGGAAGAAAAACCCGCATGCAAAACCGTGCATGCCGTGGGCGCGACCGCGCGCGAACCGAAAGAGGACCGGACACGGTGCGCCCCGCACTCCGCGTCCGCAATGAGGAGACTGGAGACGAGAGGAAAGCGGCGAGAGAAGCAACAGACGGCAGGGAGCCGAGCGAACTCGTCTCTCCTACTGTCAAGCGCAGCCATCCGCGCGGCCGCCGCCGAGGAAGTAACGGGCGGGCGCTGGTTCTACATCCTCTTCCACTCGCCAGTGACCACCAGACTGGTATCTCTTGGAACAGGCCGGCCGGAGTCGTCGTCGTCCCGGAAGGTTTCTATTATTAGATTACGAGACTTCACTCGGATCCCTCTACGACGATCGATCGAGGCGTCGCGATTTTTCTGCCTCCCTCAGCTGTCAGCACTGCTCTCGTCTGGACGATCTCACTGGGAGTGGAAGATTATTAGAGTGCCTCGGAGAAGATGGCCGAGGACAACAACGGTGGCAACAGCAACAGCGGAGGCGCCAACGCGAACACCACCGCCGAGGTTCAGATACAAATCCCAGGTCAGTTTAATATGTTGCTAGCTGCTCCAAGTTTGATTTGATCTCACGTTTGATTTATTTCTCTCGCACGTTGTTTCTCTTGTATATCGCATTTTTATTTCCTTGGAGAATGAAGTTAGGCGAGTTCTTCGCATGATTTAAATTTCAGCATTTAGTAGCTTTTCAATGCGTGGGATGGTTTTTATTCTACAGTCATTTTTCTTTTTAGAATTTTCTAATGCTTTTTGCAAAAGATTGTGATTCAGTGCTCTGTCGTCAATCACAAATGTAGATATGGAACTATAAAACCAGCACTACGTTGTCATTTTCCCATGTAAAGGTAGTTTTTATCATAATATATTTTCACAGAAGAATGCAAATGCTACTCAACGTACAAGTGTCGAACACCTAATTTTTCCTCCTCCAAAAGACCAAAACTTTACAACGGGTGTGCGCTAGACGCTAGTAGCATGACCTCATGACAGTTCATACCGTAGGACCCTAGCATGTTAGTTGTCTGAGGGTGAGGGACTTTGGAAACTTGAGGACACATGTGAGCCACTTTATCTTTACTAGCAAATATGTCTGTGCGTTACAGCGTGAGAAAAAAAAGTTATCAAACATTGCAATGGGGCTAAATACATATTGAAATTGAAATCGGACTCCGTATAATCTTTAGACACGAGTTATTTCAATTCGTATAAGCATGGTTCATAAAGGTTAACAAAGTTTGCATTCATAAAGGTTAACAACCTATTACAGGTCGTTTTTTTTTGCGATTGATACACGTCGTATTTAACTACAATAACTACAGTTCTCACCAACTAAAAGGGTAGTGTTATGAGTGAGCAATTTATTTACTTGTTTCTCTTTATTTTTGGAAGACCTACTTTATGTTTTTTAGTAAAAAACATTGTCGTTCAGCAACAGCGGTGCTGTGCTGTGCTGTGAGCACATCAAAGGTCATCACGTGATGGCGTATAATCCTCCGCTCATGTGTCCGGTAGGGGCGTTAGGTGGCCGGGCCCCTGGCAGCAGGCGGCGGCCTTGCCAACGGGCTCGTACCGGACCGGCGCCACGGAAAAAAAAACAGAAGTAGCGAGCGTAACTCAGAGGGCCGGATAACATACAAACCGAAAACAATACGGAAGGCAAACAAAAATTGGTGGCAGAAATTTTGCCTCAGATCTAGGTGCTGGTCCGGCAGGGGACGCAGCGGCGGGGCGGGCTCGCCGGCCGGCGCTGGCCCCATCTCCCAGCGCGGGGGGCGGCCTCGCTCGCCGGCACTGGTTGCAGGCTTCATCATATGGTTCAACGTTGACATCCATGATGTGTGTTGACGATGGAAATTGGAGGAGCGTTGTCTCTTGCTTTTTTGATTCAGGTTGTTTTTTGCTCTCTCTAGGTCAGTATTTGTTTTCATCTTATAGTTACAGGATCGTTGTATGCAGTCCTATTTGGACAAGGACCATGTTCCTAGACGGACTATGTAATTGGTATAGTAGTTTGGCAACTGGCCGGTCTACGACGGAGAGTATTACTATTTAAATCTAATAAATGAGTCATATCCTAATTTGATATAGACTCTGAGAAGGGCAGACTGGAGGACGGAAAAAAGAATCTAGGAAAAAAAATAATACGAATAGAACCCGGACTGGAATAGAAAAAAATATATACAAGCATACCGGAGTGGAAAAAGAGGCAGAAAAAAAAGTTATGGCGGAAATTTTGTCTTTTTATTATTAGGTATAGTTTTTGTGCCCTATATTAGCCTAATGTGTACAATGTTCACCTATTTGTAGTTTGGTAAAATAAAAAGAGAGGTGGTTACTCGTGTTAAATGTAAAACCCTGAAAGAGATTTTTTTTTTTTGTCTGTCAACTTCGTCTCTTAATCATTAGTAACTTCTACTGTATCCATTATGTGAACAGCAGGACCATCGAAAACCGAAGCTCCAGCCACTCAAGAAGGACCATCCGGAAGCTCCAAAGCTAAGAATTGGAAACGGTGGTTTATGGTGGCAGCGGATGCAATCTTTCTCATTGTTGGTCAGACATCAGCAACACTGTTAGGGAGATACTACTACAGTCAAGGTGGCAACAGCAAGTGGCTATCAACATTTGTGCAGACTGCTGGCTTCCCTATATTGTTCTTCGGCTTGTTCTTTTTCCCTTCAAAGTCGTCTTCCAGCGAAACTCCGATCGGAAAAATTGCCATGATATATATTGTCTTGGGGCTTATCATAACCGCGGACAACATGATGTATTCCCATGGGCTGTGGTTTCTTCCAGTCTCAACCTTTTCACTCATCTGTGCTAGTCAGTTGGCCTTCAACGTCTTCTTCTCATACGTCTTAACCTCTCAGAGACTCACCGGTTTAATCATGAACTCCGTGGTACTGCTTACCTTGGCTGCTTTACTCCTTGGAGTCAATCATGAATCTCATGGACCTACTGGTGGTGTCATAGGAGGAAAGTATCTTGTGGGTTTCCTGTTGACACTAGGAGCATCAGGCACCTACGCACTTATCCTTTCCCTTATGCAACTTACATTCGAGAATGTGATCAAGAAACAAACCTTCTCAGCAGTTTTAAACATGCAGATATATACTGCACTTGTGGCAACTTTTGCTTCTCTTGTTGGACTATTTGCAAGTGGAGAATGGATGGATTTAAAAGAGGAGATGGATAGGTTCCAATCAGGAGAGTTCTCCTACCTGATGACACTGGTGTGGACATCCGTTTCTTGGCAGGTCGCTTCTATTGGAGTGGTGGGCTTGGTTTTTGAGGTATCGTCCTTGTTCTCGAATGTGATCAGCACATTTGCTCTACCTATTGTCCCTCTTTTTGGTGTGATGGCCTTTCATGACAAGATGAATGGAGTCAAGATCATAGCCATGCTAATTTCGATATGGGGTTTTCTTTCATATCTATATCAAAACTATCTCGATGATAAGAAAGCTAGAAGTGCATAGGGGCGTTCCTAGGGTCTACAATTTATTGTCATAGATAGCTCTTTACCGGTTGTCCGGTTTAGTTTGTTTCCTGCGAGAAGATAGATGTTCATTACTTATGTTAATTTGAGTACATTTCACCAGGAGGAAGCTATAGTTTTTTAGCATAGCTATGAAATTGGTCTTAATTAATTATTGGTCTTATTTTTGTTTTGCATATGCGGCATATGTGTAAGCGTGTGGGACATGGAATAAACATGATATATAGATTTATAGGTGAAATTTTGTATAGCTCTTTTGTTGACGTTGTAATTCTTTATTGGAAATCTGTTATCTGTTGTCCCTTCTAAATTTTGTTCTTGAGTGTGTTAGTACTGTTTACCATATTAAACTTAGCTCCTAAACAAAACTATAAAAGTTTTAAATTTTCTACTGGATATTTGTCAGCCACCAAGTATTTTTTATGAGTCCAGCTCGGCCCGGCACGCCCACGAGTCTTTGTGGACAAGGCGATCCTACCGTCCAAAAAAGATTTTTCTCAGCCCGAGCCCAGCATGAAATATTTATTTTAGCTATTTTACACTATACACTGCACGGGCAGCCTGTCTAGGCCTAGGCCCGACCCGAAAAATTAGGCTGGACTCACTTGGTGGGACGGATAGGCTGGGTATTTTTGACCCAAAATAACTAGGCTTTTTCTCGCCCGGGCCCAAAGTAGGCCCGTCCCGCTAAATGCTCAAGTCTAACCGGAAGTAGTACTTATTTTATTAGATTAGATTTAGGTCCTTAAAAAACATAGGTGTATGAAGTATGAACCACGTAGATGCCTACGGGATCAGCTCGCATGTGTTTGAAGCTGTGCACTGTTGATATAACGTGCATACAAAACCGTAAAGTGCAAGTGCATAGAAACACCATACATTGCAAACGTGCAACTATATTAATGAAATTGTATATATTAATGAAATTGCTACATAATTTCCAAAAATTTTACTATAGCTCCCCCTTTTCATGCCTCCCAGTTAGGGGTACGAATGGTATGAATATTTTCCGACCGTATTAGAGTCTGAATTCATTTAGAGAAGTTTAGATTTGTCTGTATTCAAGTTCAGATATTCAACATCTGATACTGTATCCGTATCTAAATACTCAAATAATAACATCCATTCGTATCATATCCGATATAGTTGAAACTATCTGTATCCGAATCTAAATCCGAAAAGAAATATAAGATCAACGATATCCCTCCATATTGGATCCGTTTGCACCCCTACTCCCTATAGAACAAAGCCTTGAAATGAAACAAACTTTCAGTCCTCGTTTCTGCCACTTCACATACTCCGTGGTCCAGTGCGGAGCTTCACTTCATATGAATCTTTCGTGGACAACAATGGTAAAATAGATAAGTTGGCCATATTTAAGCTAGATATTTTTGGGTGAAGGGGGCGACATTATCGACAAAAATATTATCCGAGTGTTGTTTAGCCATATTTAAACATGAGTTTACAGTATGTTCTTCCCTCCCCTCCCAACCACCCCCACCCAAAAAAAATGTCAACCACGTATGTGAGCATATTCCTTTAGATTTGGGTCAAGCTAGCGCCCGGACGTCCGGACGGGGCTAGCGTCCGGACACCGACGCCTATTGCACCTGCCCACGCCCCCGCGTACGCATACTGCTGCGCCCGCCCACATGTCCGCGCCTGCTTCACGTGGGGGCCAATGCGCTTGCGCGGGCCCACGTGGGGGCCGTATCTAAGGATGGCAACGGGTCGGGTTCGGATCGGGTGGAGTCTCCGTGCACCCAAAACCAAAACCCGAAATCGAAACCCGAATCCGCCCCGAAAACCGATTCGGGTGGAAATCCATCACCAAAACCAAACCCGCAGATACCCGAAACCCGAACGGATACCCGACACCCGAATGGATACCCGAAACACGTGGATATATATACACATATTCACATGTATAAATAAGAGGCAACAAATAATAAATATTTTTAATGAGTCAACTTTAAATAAATTTAATAATCTAAGTAAACAAATTATTATTAGTATATTATAAAACATGAGTTTTAATTCCAAATGATTTATTTCGGATATCCATTGGATATCCACGGATGGAAAACCAAACCCGAAATCAAACCCGATTGGTTTCAGGCCCCGAACCCAAAACCGTGGGTGAAAAACCATCCCCAAACCCGAACCCGCAGAACCCGAAACCCGCGGATATCCGCCCCAAACCCGATCCGTTGCCATCCTTAGCCGTATCTTGATCTACGCTCGCCCCGTTGCTCGCGCTTGCTGCTCGCACCCCCTCTGCTCCCACGCGCGCAGCTGCGGTAGCTAGGTCCCACTGCAACATGTGCAACACCAGATTTACTTTTGCAACATGTAGATGAAACACTCTGCAACATACATCCGAAACAGTTAAAACACTTGCAACATACGTCTGAAACACCAAGAAAACACGTTTGTAGCCATTGCAAAACATATGCAACATACGTATGAAACAACAGAAACACTTGAAACATACGCTTGCAACATGTATGTATATGCAACATCCAGATCTACTTTCCAAGGAAAAAGTCTACATAACCCCCAACTATCCAGTGTCGACTACTTCACCCCCCCCAAACTATAAAACCGGTTATTCTGCCCCTGAACTTTCCAAAACCGGTCAAATAACCCCCCAAGCGGTTTTCGATGGTGGTTTTGCCACCGTGGTTGCTGACATGGACAATGATGTGGCGATGTCCCACATGTCAGCCACCCCTCTCTCTTATCTCCTCTCCTCTAATCTCTGTGCCCATGCCATTACAGGGCGCGGAGGCGTACCGGCTGCTCTGGCGCTCGGACGGCCTAGCTAGGGTTAGGGTTAGCTTAGCGAAGCTCACCGCGACTTGCTCGACTACACGGTTGAGGCGGACACGAAGCAAAGAGGGCTGATGACATTGAGGGCAGAGACGGCGGTGCGAACCGGTGGTCGAGGCGGCGTTCCGACGTGTCCTAGGCTCCAGCGACCAAACGGACAAGCCTATGAGCAACACGGCATCGAGACGAAACCAAAACTAAAGACGCGAAGGGCGAGACGTTCACCGGAGAGAGCAGGCCATGGTGAGAAGATTACGGCGGCCATGGCGAACCGCCACGGTGAGAACCCGTGCTAAGGACGACTCCGGCAACAAGAGACGTCGCAACCGGGCTCAAACGAGACACAAGGACGAGGCGAAGCTAGAGACGCGAGCAATTGGGCAGAGGTGGAGCAACCGCTGCAAATTTTGCCAACGAGCTTGAGCAGTCGGTGGCGGTGCAGGAAGGGACGACGATGAAGGAGCCAGCGCCACCGGTGGAGGAGCTCGGGGGAGGAGGCGCCACGTCTCGGCCTCGGCCGCGCTCGCATTGCCCGCGCCGCCCGCCGCGCCCGCGAGGTCCTCCAGATCGGCTGTTGGTGAGGGAGAGGGAGATTGAGAGGGAGGCACGAGAGATTGGGAGGAGAGGGGAGGGGGCGTCGACGAGAGGGAGAGGGAAGAGAAGAGAGAGGGATGGCTGACATGTGGGCCATCGCCATGTCATCGTCTATGTCAGCAGCCACGGTGGCAAAACCACCATCGAAAACCACTTGGAGGGTTATTTCACTGGTTTTGGAAAGTTCAGGGGGCAGACTATCCGGTTTTATAGTTTGGGGGTTAAGTAGTCGACCCTAGATAGTTGGGGGTTATGTAGACTTTTTTCACTTTGCAACATCCAGATAAAACACTTGCAACATACGTCTGTAGCAAATGAAACATTTAGGACATACACTTGAAAACACCATTGCAACATGTGCAACATCCCGATCTACTTTTGCAGCATCGATATAAAACACTTGCAACATACCTCTGAAACATTTGAAACACTTGAAACATGCACTTGCAACATGCGGTTTTAGCGCAACATCTCCTTACTGCTCGGGAGAAAAGAGCCTCGTCAGCGTGTGCGGTTTCATCCTGGCCGTCGCGAGCTGCGCACGGGCGAGTTCCGCCCTGGCCACAGCGAACTGGGTAGGCGGGCGTGAGATGTGCGCGGCTTCACCCGAGCTGCCGTGAGCTGCTCGTAGGCGAGCTCCACACCCGGTGGCGGTGAGCTGGGCTGGCGGCGGCAGAGGTCTTCCTGGCCGCCAACCAGGCGTCCGGCCCCCGTGGTGGAGGCGGCAGCGGCGGTCGGGCGACGGTCTCCCTCTCCACGGGTGAGCAGCGGTCGGGAAGCAACGCTGGTCGATCGATGGGTTTGCTGCCCACGGCGAGCAGCCCCAGCAGTGGAGATGGCGAGCGAAGGGCGGCCGATGCGAGATGGGGAAAATATCGTTCTCTTTTTTTTGGAGAAAACCGTGTGTTCCATAACGAAGGAGCATGCCTGTGGGTTGGTCCGCAGGCCCAGCACTAGTGTCCGGACGGGACGGACGTCCCCAGTAGAGCATTAGCGTTTAGATTTTAGCTACAAAGTGGCAAGTTGAGATTTTGAGATATGTCCCGAACAAGTTCGTGGGCAATAATTTGTTCCGAGCGAGTTATTGTAGGAAATCTCATGCACTACTAATCACACATGATTGTTTTAGTAATGAAAAGACAGGAGCTCTGCCGCTCAGTTGCGAAGAAAAGAAGTTCGGTACAGAGACATGACCCTCGTTCACACCCACACAATAGCCAGCTGCTAGCATATAGAGACAAACACACAGACGGGACACACCATGTGTCATTGTTGTCAAGCTTTGACGCAAAAGCAACGAAGCAACTTTGACTTCACACGTGCAAGGTACATGATTCCAAGATGGTAAAAAGATAGGAAGTGAAAGTGCTATGGAACACATGGTGAACAACCTGCAGAGCACGGTAATCCTGACGAGTAGGATCTAGAGGAACTCAAGTATAGGCAAACTGGAGTTTAGAGCCACCTCGATTTGGGATGTCGGAACACCAACAAGATCGGGAACCTCATCCTGAACTTAATTAGCTAGGAATAGGTTTAAGAGTTTCTATTTAA